CTTAAAGAAATAGAGTCAGAAAAATTGCCTAATAACTGGTCTGCCTAAACTTGTAAAGTGTTTGCACTCAGCCAAGCCTTAAAGTACTTATAGAACCAGGAAGAAACCAACTATACTGATCCTAGGTACGCTTTTGGGCTGGCACATACATTTCATACATTTGGAAAAATTTGGACTGAATGAAGTCTTATCAATAGTAAAGGTCAAGACTTTGTTCACACGGAGTTAATCACCCAAGTATTAAATAAGCTTCAGTTGCCAGAAGACATAACTATTGTCCATGTCCCCACACACCAAAAAAGCTTTTCTTTTGAGAGTCAGGGAAATAATCTAACAGATCAGATAGCCAAACAGGCTGCGGTTTCATCTAAAATGCCTATCTTTCATTTAACTCCTTGTCTTCCTCACCATTACAATCCCTATTTTCTCTGCCACAGAGAAAGAGAAATTAGTAAGAATGGGAGCCAGTCTGGACAATGAAAAAAGGATGGACTCATCACAATTGAGTCAAAAAAGTGCCACCCTCTCCAGAATCATGGGCCATAGTTTCAGGGGAGAACCCTACCAAAACTAAAGCTATGAAAAGTTTAACTATCTTCCATCTGTTCTATTACTCCTTCTCCTTCTCCCATTCTATTGCTAATCCTCTCGTTATTAATGTAACTACGATGGGCTCACCCCAAACTATTTCCTTTAATGCTTGCCTCATTATGCCCTGTGAAAATCTCCAGAGTCAAAAACAGCTCTTAGCCTCAGAGAAATATCTCTGTTACTGTTGGACAAGAGGCTCCCCCTAAAGCGACCCATGTTTGTTTATTTATTTATTTATTTATTTTTTGAGACAGAGTCTCGCTCTGCTGCCCAGGCTGGAGTGCAGTGGCACCATCTCAGCTCACTGCAACCTCTGCCTCCTGGGTTCATGCCATTCTCCTGACTTAGCCTCCTGAGTAGCTGGGACTACAGGCACTTGCTGCCATGCCCAGCTAATTTTTTGTATTCTTTAGTAGAGATGGGGTTTCACTGTGTTAGCCAGGATGGTCTCGATCTCCTGACCTCGTAATCCACCGCCTCCGCTTCCCAAAGTGCTGGGATTACAGGCGTGAGCCACTGCACCCGACCACGACTCCTGTTTTTTAACAAATGTAAAAAAAAAGGCCTGTCACAGCTGGAACGATGTTTTATAAACAACCGAATGTCAGGACTAGACATCATCAACAGGTGATTGTATGTCCTTAAAGCCATACATTTGCTTTGCTAAAGGAAACACTCCTTCCAATTGCCAGTTTAACCAATGTAATCTGGTGCAAATTTCTATTCTCACCCCCACTTCTATGGATCCTAACCCCGCTTTGAGCTACTTCTATGGCATAAGACCCAACTTGGCTGGCACAAATCTTACAGGGTCTTTCAAAACGTGTTTAGTCATCCCTCATGCTCTTAGCCCCCTTCCCTCTCTTCTCCTAAGCTCTTTTCTAACCAGATTGTCATATCTTCTATGCCCAGTGATAAGAATAAAATAAAATAGTTATTGTAAAAGTAACTAATTTAGGCCGGGCGCGGTGGCTCAAGCCTGTAATCCCAGCACTTTGGGAGGCCGAGACGGGCAGATCACGAGGTCAGGAGATCGAGACCATCCTGGCTAACATGGTGAAACCCCGTCTCTACTAAAAAATACAAAAAAAACTAGCCGGGCGAGGTGGCAGGCGCCTGTAGTTCCGGCTACTCGGGAGGCTGAGGCAGGAGAATGGCGTAAACCCCGGAGGCGGAGCTTGCAGTGAGCTGAGATCGGGCCACTGCACTCCAGCCTGGGCGACAGAGCGAGACTCCGTCTCAAAAAAAAAAAAAAAGTAACTAATTTAAGGCAAACTTTAACAATTAAAATAAGATATCAAGATACAAATGTCTGGTTAAAATGGATCAAATATTCTGTGCATGCATTAAACAAATGCTTGTGCACACCACCAGTCAGAGGCCCAGATTGTCCCTTTCCCACTCAGATGTTTTTCTAGTTGACGAGGCATGAACTGTATAGTAGCTCTTTTCCAAGACCCCAAAGCCTGGGGTAATAAATCCTGCTGAGCTCTCTCTCTGCTATTTCTTTTTTTTTTTTTTTTTTTTTTTTGACAGAGTCTTGCTCAGTCCCCCAGGCTGGAGTGCAGTGGCGCGATCTCAGTTCACTGCAAGCTCCGCCTCCCGGGTTCACACCATTCTTCTGCCTCAGCCTCCCAAGTAGCTGGGACTACAGGCGCCTGCCACCACGCTTGACTAATTTTTTGCATTTTTAGTAGAGACAGGGTTTCACCGTGTTAGCCAGGATGGTCTCAATCTCCTGACCTTGTGATCCGCCTGCCTCGGCCTCCCAAAGTGCTGGGATTACAGGCGTGAGCCACCGCGCCCGGTCTCTCTCTGCTATGTCTTAAAGTCCAACACCCGGTGGGTCAGGCCCCAAGAGCCATCCAGCCTCCATCTCCTAGCGTCAATTTTACCTTGTGTCTCTCACAACAAGGGGAAAACTTGGCATTTCTTGGAGACCTTATGGGATACAATGAGCTTAAGCCTTTCCAAGAGCTTACCAGTCAGTCTGCCCCTGTTCATCCTCCAGCAAATGTATGGTGGTATTGTGGTGGACCCTTACTGGACACTCTGCCAAGTAACTGGAATGGCACTTGCACTGTTGCCCAATTGGCTATCCCTTTCACCCTCGCATTTCAACAACTAGAAAAAGAAAAACCATAACACCATAAAATAAGAGAAGCCCCTTCTGGGTCTTTTGACTTTCAAGTTCATTTAGACACCGTTGGAGTCCCACGGGGATACCTGATGAATTCAAAGCCGAAGACCAAATAGCTGCAGGATTTAAATCAGTATTTCCATGGGTAACTATTAATAAAAATGGAGATTAGATAGATAAATTACATCTATTACAATCAATAGTGGTTTATTAATTTCACCAGAAATGCTGTCAAAGAAATAGCCGACCAATTAAGGCCTACTAGCCAGATAACTTAGAAAAACAAAATGGCCCTGGACATAGTATTAGCTGAAAAAGGTGGAGTTTGTGTTATGATTAAAACTCAATGTTGTACCTTCATCCCAAACAATACTGCCCCCAATGGGGACATAACAAGGGCCTTACACGAACTTACCACTTTATCCAATGAATTAACTAAAAATTCTGGGGTCAATAACACGTGTTCAGAATGGCTAGAGAGGTGGTTCAGTAAACGAAAAAAAATCATAGCCTCGTTTCTTACTTCTCTTATAGTTGTAATAGTTTTACTAATTCTTGTTGGGTGTTGTGTTGTACCATGCACCTGTGGGCTAGTACAAAGACTTATAAAAACAACGCTTACTAAAATCTCCCTTAGTTCTCCTCCACCTTATTCAGAAAAACTTTTCATTTTAAAAGATCAAGTCAAACAACAAAGCAAAGGTATGTTTAAAAAGTTTTAAAAAGGCCGGGCGCAGTGGCTCAAGCCTGTAATCCCAGCACTTTGGGAGGCCGAGGTGGGCGGATCATGACGTCAGAAGATCGAGACCATCTTGGCTAACAGGGTGAAACCCCGTCTCTACTAAAAAAATACAAAAAACTAGCCGGGCGAGGTGGCGGGCGCCTGTAGTTCCAGCTACTCGGGAGGCTGAGGCAGGAGAATGGCGTGAACCCGGGAGGCGGAGCTTGCAGTGAGCTGAGATCCGGCCACTGCACTCCAGCCTGGGCGACAGAGCGAGACTCCGTCTCAAAAAAAAAAAAAAAAAAAAAAAAAAAGTTTTAAAAAGCGTGCGGTTGCGGTGGCTCACGCCTGTAATCCCAGCACTTTGGGAGGCTGATGCGGGCGGATCACCTGGGCCTCTTCTGGTCAGGAGTTAGAGACCAGCCTGACAAATATGAAGAAACCCCGTCTATACTAAAAATACAAAATTAGCTGGGCGTGGTGACACATGCCTGTACTCCCAGCTACTCCGGAGGCTGAGGCAGGAGAATTGCTTGAACCTGGGAGGCAAATATTGTAGTGAGCCGAGATCGTGCCATTGCACTCCAGCCTGGGCAACAAGAGCAAAACTCCATCTTGAAAAAAAAAAAAAAAGTTTTTTTTTTTAATTATAAAAATTAAAAGGGGGAAATTGTAAAATACAATAATATTCCTCTTCAAAGGGTTAGTCTGTTAACTTTCTTGTTCTTTGTTCTCAGACTCAACTTTCTTGTTCTCCATGCCTCCTTACCCCTAGTTACTGTAACAACCTTGCTTCCCATCAGCTCTAATCAATAACTCACATCTATTCCCTTGATTACTCTGCACCCTTTCCACCCTTCAGAACCAAACGTCCTAGCACTGTGACTTATACATGCCCCTTCCCTTCCTTATTTGGAAAAACATTTACAAATAGCCAATTGGGTCAGTTTAGATTGTGCGGTCCAACCCCAGCCCATGGGGCAGTAACACAGAGGTAGAGACTTTACGTTAAAAAAAAAAAAAACCCTCCCTCCTTTGTTCAGGGTGCTCTTGCGAATCGTGATTAACGCAAATAAAAATCTTCTGCAGAAGTAAATTGCCTTACTAAAAAAACTTTTGCCTGAGTACTGGTTTCACTTTGCGCCACCGTATATTTTACTTCCAACCGTATTATTAATATGACAACAAAATACTTCTGTTCACCGTCTCAATAACATTCAAAAAGAGAGAGTAAAAAAGAGAGAATTTTCCCATGCTCTGGGGTGGACGTGGCTCAGCTCAGGGAGGAAGCCCTGTTGAAAAGGCTGCAACTTACGCTGTTACTTTTCTTCACTCAGCCCAGCATCTGATCACATCTTCCGTCACTCAGGGCCTGAGGGGGCGGAGCCTTAAGCATTATCCAATCAGGGACGCTGGGCTGGAAACGTCCAATCAGGCACGCAGCCTGAGCGAACAGCCCAGCATCTGATCACGTCTTCTGTCACTCAGGGCCTGAGGGGTCGGGGCCTTAAGCATTATCCAATCAGGGACGCTGGGCTAGAAACGTCCAATCAGGCACACAGCCGGAGCGAACAGGGCGGCTTCTGGTTTGGCGGGTCCTTTGTCTCTGGGTGCAGCCGGAGCTCCTGGTCTCCTGTTTACTGCTCTGTGTCCTGTACTCCTAAAGGCCCAGCCTCTGTGGCCCTGTGATCTGCAGGTATTGTGAGATCCACAGCTAAGACACCAGGACCCCTGGAAGCCTAGAAATGGTGAGAGTGCCGGTCGGACATCCCAAGCGAAGGGCAGGGGCTGGTTGGAACCGGTGGAAAGTGACGGTGGCGGGACTCAGGTATCCCCTTAGTCAGCTCCACAATTTGCTCCCCGAGTTCTCCTTGCCCAGCTGGGCCTCGGTTCGCTTCAGCCAAAAGATGGCGGCTGCGCTGTCAGCCCAGCCCCCAGGCGTCCTGTCTCTTCACTGCGCGGTGACGATGCCCTGGCCTGGAGCCCTCTCTGGGCAGCTCTGCCCCCGCAGCGCCGCTTCTCTCCCAGATTGTGCAGGGACCACGGGAAGAGTCGTCAGGGGAGAATCCTGACTCGGAGTGCGGGTTCACGAATGGGAAGAGCTTTAGTGCCTTGGGTTCACAGTTTCTCTTTTCTATTAAAAATTTATGGGGCTGGGCGCGGTGGCTCATTCCGGTAATCCCAGCACTTTGGGAGGCCGAGGCGGGCGGATCACTTGAGGTAAGGAGTTGTTAGGACAAACTAAGCTCCTCTTCAAAGACTCAACTTCCTGGTCAGAAGTTGTAAAAATTGTAAATCAACCCTACCTCTTCTTCCGCCTTCTCCTTTTCTCAAAACATCGCGCGTTTATCCTATTTGGAAAAAGTTTGTGTCTAGCCCAACCAGGATCAGCTTAGATTGTGCTGTCCGACCCCAGCCTATATGGGAAGGACACAAAAATAGGAACTGCGTTAGGGTTAAATACCCCTTCCTGGCCCAGCGCGGTGGCTCATGTAATCCTAGCACTTTGTGAGGCCGTGGCGGGTGGATCACAAGGTCAGGCGTTGTAGGTCAGCCTGGCCAACATGGTGAAACCCCGTCTCTACTAAAAATACAAAAATTAGCCGGAGTTGGTGGCAGGCGCCTTTAGTAATCCTAGCTACTTGGGAGGCTGAGGCACTAGACTGGCTTGAACCTGGGAGGCGGGGTGCAGTGAGCCTATATCTTGCCATTGTACTCCAGCCTTGGTGACAGAGTGAGACTCTGTCTAAAAAAAAAAAAAAAAAAAGACATCTTAAAATGGCCTTCCCTTATGTAAAACTGTGTTTAAGTAATTTCACGGATTTTTCAAACACTGAGTTTCAAAAACCAAGTGAGTAACTCTGACATGACAATTAAAGCTTGAACCTGGTGACTCCAAGCTAAGGCCAATATTAAGCCTGAAACAGAAGGGTTTTTTTTTTTTTTTTTGGACAGAGTTTTGCGTTTTGCTCTTGTCGCCCAAGTGGAGTGCAATGGCGTGACCATGGCTCACTGAAACCTCCATCTCCTGGGTTCAAGCGTGCTCCTGCCTCAGCCTCTCAAGTAGCTGGGATTACAGGCATGCACCATCATGCCTGGCTAATTTTGTATTTTTAGTAGAGACGGGTTTTCTCCATGTTGGTCAGGTTGGTCTCGAACTCCCGAGCTCAGGTGATCTGCCCGCCTTGGCCTCCTGAAGTGCTGGGATTACAGACGTGTTATTCTGAGAGAAGCTACAGAGCCTAAAAAGCTGGGGCCCCACAAGAAGATGCAGTTAAGGTTAAGATGAAAGGAAACTGGAAGGCTCTTTTTTTTTTGAGACCTCCCCTGTCGCCCAGGCTGGAGTAAGCTCACTGCAAGCTCCGCCTCCCGGGTTCACGCCATTCTCCTGCCTCAACCTCCCGAGTAGCTGGAACTACAGGCACCCACCACCACGCCCAGCTAATTTTTAAAAATATTTTTTTAGTGGAGACGGGGTTTCACTGTGTTAGCCAGGATGATCAATCCTGACTGACCTCGTGATCCACTCGCCTCGGTCTCCCAAAGTGCTGGGATTACAGGCGTGAGCCACCATGCCAGGCCTTTGGAAGGATCTTACTGATGATGAAGTTGTTATTGTTTTGAGGAACATTTTAGACTTTGTAAAATAAAAACGTTAAATTTATGTTAAAAATGAATTTCAAAAAAGTATTACAGCAGGAGGAAGTACCAACTAACTATAAGATCTTTATGGCTTGCAAAAATGTAGGCAGAAAAGGGCTTTTCTCCCTAGGGAGGAGCAAATAAGATTAGAAAGGAGGTGGGAGGAGAATAGCAAATGGAGGGTGAAAAAGTCAGATTTTACATCAGAGAATGTCTTATCCTGAAATCACGTTCTTAGGAGGGATGTAAAATGGAATGTATGTTGACTCAGAGTGAGGGTAGCTCAAAGTTCAGGAGCCTGAGGGAGAGAGATAAACTTAAGTAAAGTTTGATTAAGAAATATTTTATTTTATGCCTGGCCCAGTGGTTTATGCCGTAATCCCAGCACTTTGGGAGGCCAAGATGGGCAGGTCACTAGGTCAGGAGATTGATACCATCCTGGCCAACGTGGTGAAACTCCGTCGCTACTAAAAATACAAAAATTAACTCAGTGTGGTGGCCCGCACCTGTATTCCCAGGTACTCAGGAGGCTGAGGCAGGAGAATTGCTAGAACCCGAGAAGCAGAGGTTGCAGTGAGCCAGATCAAGCCAGGGCACTCCATCCTGGAGACAGAGCGAGACTCTGTCTCAAAACAAACAAACAAGAAAACAAAAAAAATTTTACTTCAGACCAGGCACAGGCCGTGGTTCACACCTGTAATCCAGGCACTTTGGGAGGCAGAGGCAGGTGGATCATCTGAGGTCAGGAGTTCGAGACCAGCCTGGCCAACATGGTAGAACCCTGTGTCTACTACAAATACAAAAACTAGCCTAGTGTGGTGGCAGGTGCCTGTAATCCTAGAAACTTGGGAGGCAGAGGCAGGAGAATTGCTTGAACCCTGCAGGCAGAGGTTGCAGTGAGCCGAGATTGCGCCCCTGCACTCCAGCCTGGGCAACAGAGTGAGATTCTGGCTCAAAAAAAAAAAAAAAGAAATATTTTATTTTGACCACTGAAGACAAATTCAGCTGATATTTTAAAATAAGAAATAGGAAATGTGCAGAGTGTGTGTCTGGCTGTGTGATAGGTAAGAAAAGAGAGCAATATCTAAGTCATAAGGGGAAGAGTATTTCTTTCTATAAACTATCTCTAGAGCACACAAACGATGGAGAATTTTATTTTTATTTTTATTTTTATTTTTTTTGAGGCAGATTCTTGCTCTGTCACCCAGGCTGGAGTGCAGTGGCACGATCTTGGCTCACTGCAACCTCCGCCTCCCGGGTTCAAGCGATTCTCCTGCCTCAGCCTCCCAAGTAGCTGGGATTACAGGAGCCCGCCACCACGCCCGGCTAATTTTTGTATTTTTAGTAGAGATGGGGTTTCACAGTGTTGGCCAGGCTGGTCTAGAACTCCTGACCTTATGATCCACCCACCTCGGCCTCCCAAAGTGCTGGGATTATAGGCATGAGCCACTGTGCCCGGCCGGAGAATTTTATTAATCACAAATATTTTCCAGGATTATCTATGTGTTTCATCTTTCCCCATCTCTTTTCTTTGTTCTATGCATTTCTTCCTTTTGGCTTTTCCTGGGCTGCATCTTATATATGAAACCAGTAAACATAACTACAGTGTTTTGCTGAGTTCTGTGAGTATCTCTACCAAATTACTGAATTTCACTGAGGTGATAGACCCCAATTTTTAAACAGTAGCTCAGAAGCGTAGATGGGCCCATGGGGTTTGTTGCTGGCGTCTGCAGTGAGGACAGTGTTGTGGAACCAAGCCCTGAATCAGGGTCTGTGCTGACTCTGGGTAGTGTCAGAATTCCAATGTTAGACAATGAGTTGGTGTTGGAGAATTGTTTGATGTTCAGCAAACTACAGATTTGGTGCCAGAAAAAAGATATCACGGAGGTTTGGCCTGGAATAAAACTCTGGGTGTTTGGGAATGGGAGGCTCTGCTCTCCTGTACACAGGCTGTCACACTGCCCATCCTGTAATTCCACGTCTTCTCCCAGGGTGACAGATGACTGAAAACTTAGAGAAAAGGAGCTTCACCGTGGTATTTTTGATCTGTATTTTGTGAAGAACCCACAAGTGTCTACAAGTCCCCTGGCATATCCCAAACCCCAGACACTGAATCTGCAGCAGCAACCTGTTTTCTCCACCAACCTAGAATCTGGACCACCTGTTCATAATCTCATCTTCCTGTATTCACACAGAAATAAATCAGTACAGCCCTACCTGGGTCACTCTCTGTAGCAAAAATCAGTCCTTTCACCTACATTGCGCTGTCTCCTACTCAGGGATTTATTTTTTTTCTTTTAGCTTTTATTTTTGGTTTGGGGTGCACATATGGTTTTGTTATACAGCTAAAATTATGTTATTGGGATTTGGCATGCAGATTATTTTTTCACTGAGGTACTAAACATAGCACCAAACAGGTATCTTTTGTGATCCTCTTACTCCTCCCACCCTCCACCCTCAACTAGGCCTCAGTGTCTGTTGTTTTCTCTTTGTGTTTATGTGTTCTTATTATTTAGTTCTTACTTGTAAATAACAACATGCATTTGGTTTTCTGTTTCTGCATTAGTTTTCTAAGAATAATGGCCTCCAGCTTCATCAATGTTATTGCAAAGAACATGATCTTCTTTTTTTAATGGCCACAGAGTATTCCATGATGTTTATGTACCATATTTTGTTTTTACTGAATATTTTACTTTATTTTCGGAGACAGGGTCTCACTTATGGCCCAGGCTCGAGTGCCATGGCATAATATTGGCTTACTTTAGCCTCAACCTCCCAGGCTCAAGGAATTCTCTCCTACCTCATCCTCCCAAGTAGCTGAAACTACATGTATGCATAACCACACCTGGCCAACTTTTCTTTTCTTTCTTTCTTTCTTTTTTTTTTGATTTTCTGTGGAGACAGAATTTTGCCGTGTTGCCAGGCTGGTCTCAAATTTCTAAGCTCAGGCGATCCACCAACCTCAGTCTCTGCCTCCCAAAGTGCTGGGATTACAGGTATGAGCCACCGCATCTGACCATACCATATTTTCTTTATCCATTCTACCATTGATAGGCATTTATGGCCTGTCCATGTCTTTGCTGTTTTGAATAGTGCTGCAGTGAAT